TTAGCGATTATCAGCCACTGAGCAAGAGTGAGTGAAAATAGAACACTACAAACAGAAACTTATTTCAAAGGCCTGGGCTTTATCTTGAAATAGATCAGAATGAACAATCAAACTGTGTGCCACTCACATCATTACAAATCTTGTGAAATCCTAATATTACCACCTAGCTTCTATCATAGGACACTTTTTTTTTTTAAATGAAATAGGGCCCAAAGAGTTTTGCTGCTGATTTTAATGGGAATCTAATCCACAACTCTTGCAAATAGGACTCTCTGGATTTGCCTAGCACTTCTGTGTCCCAGGAGTATGTAGGGCAAGGAAGGAGGAAATGAGAATAGTCTGTCAACATGTAAAACCAATCCTCAGCTAGAATGAACTGCCAGAGCTGTATTATAAAACTGTATTAACTGACACCCCTTGAAGATGTGCCTCAGAATTTCCATGGAAAACTTCTAGACAGCCCATGCGTTGGGAGCCTGGTATTTCTCAGAGCAGTATGCTTGTCTCATAATTTTTTTTAACTTTATTTCAGTATTATTTGCCTACATATCCCAGGTGCCTGATAAATGGAGCTGTTTCCTTTCTCCCATAGTCTCATTTTGCTTCCTTGTCTTGCCCTCTTGCATGTTAGACTAATAACCACCTGAAATTTTGTACTTGTTTAAGCCCTTTCATCAGAGAAGCTCAAAGTAGCTTGCAAACATTAATTAAAAATAAAACAGCCTGAACATCTTCAAAGAGCTGTGCAGTCATTAACTAATCCCCACAGCATGCCAAGAAGGTACTAAAGATGGATCATTAGACTTGTGTACACAGTACAAGAGAAACACAAAGATCAAGGCAAACATTCAAAAAAAAAAAAAAAACCCGCCGCATAAACATCCACTAATTTGGGGTCTTGTATTTTTTTTTCATTGCCCAAATTGCAGCATTTTAATGACTTGCTCGAGGCCTCACAAAGTCAGAGATGCAGCTATAATTCAGCAATTGCCAGTATCCTGCTACAAGCATTAAGTGATGCTGCTACAACTTATTAAAACATATGGCTTTTGTCCCAGGAATTTCTGTTGTGTTGTACTTAGCTGTTATAGGTGAAAACAGTGTTCATTATTGTTTTATTAACCACTGGTTTGCTTTATATACATATTCATAAAATAGTAACTTTTCAGAATGGTAACATAAAGGTAAGCAAGAAGTGTTACAGCTATGTTGTACAGTGCTGCTCTGCACAAAGGTATACATAGGTAATTAGTACATCTTCATGTACCGTATGTACCACATGCAATGCCTATTCAATGACAGTAGAGTATGCAGGCATCTGGTGCATCATTATGTGGTGACTAGGGCAAAGATGTCAGGCCAGGACACTTAATGGACATTTGTTTTAATAAAGGGGACAGAAATGTGCAGGTGTTTCAATTTACTGATAGGAAGAAACTACTCTTAACAATTTAGACTAAGTGATAGTTGTCACCTATAGCAAAGATAAAACTTGTTTATGAATGTTACAGCACAGTCATCCAAATTGAGAACAATTTTTGACAAGAGAATCGTATTTCAGAAAATCTATGAATTAATTCAAATTGATCCTTTAAAAAAATTGTCTTTTCTTAGGCTTCATAAAAGTAACACAGATACTTTGTACTTTGCATATCATTAAAATTAACTGAAATTTACTACATATTTAAAAAAAACATTGTGGCAATTACCATATTTTTGAATGGCTGCATCTAATTGTTGTTGTCACATCAACAATTCAGATCACTATAATTAGTCAGGTCACTGCGGCATCAGAGATAGCAAACCAGTCACGAGCCTCCTCTAACAGGTGCTTTGCATGCAGGCCAAAGAGGCTGGACCTGCTTGTTATACCCTTCCCTACGGACTGATCAGTTCAGTCGCTGCTCTCAAAAGGATGTTTCTATTTAGATTTGAGCTTATGCTCACAAGTGACTGGTGACAGCTTACCTGTGGCTGCTGAGGCACTGCTGAAAGGGAAGCTGGGGCAACAATAGAGTCATCGTTCTTAAAACACTAGAATGAAGAGAAGTTGAAATTTGAGGATTGAGTTTCTCCATCCTTCTTCAGATAATGCTAGTCTTGCAAACACAGTCCTCTAAACTAAGCCATTTTAAATTAAAAGCCAGATTCACTAGAATATGCTATCTAAATTACATTTTATGGAGATAAATTACTTTTAAACTGTCAGAAAATACTGTGGGATAACTTGCCAAGTGGGTTTCTTGTTAATGCCTCATTGAACAAACACTAATGGACAGTCTATTAAATGACACAGTTGTGGTTCTTGCAAATAAATAGTGGCTTTGCTGCTACATTGTGTACAATGTCCTTGTTACTGTGTTCATCTTCTACATGCTTCTTCTGTGTCAATGGTTAGATTTGAGATGAAGGCATCTCTTAGAATGTAATTAAAGATGTATTTCAAACTTTTGTAGATGTGACCAAAATATATAGACAAGAGAGAAGTCTATAAAAGAGAGTTCTTGCATCTGCTGGTAGCTATGCCTCCTTCACTGGGGATCAGGCATGGCTGAGTTGCTTTAGTTGACGATTACTGAAGTACGTGATTTCCTGAGCTGCCCTTACTATTAGAGGAAAAGTAATGGAATTTACTGTTGAGGGATATCTGTCTTAGAGATGTCTGTGGCTCTTTGAAATGAGCTTCCCAACCTTATTTCCTGAGCATTGTTTAAGACCTTCCTGAAGAATGACAAGCTGGCTAAACATTAGAATTCACAACCTTCCTTGGCTGAGATGCATATAAAAAAGAAAAAGGCAACTCAGCTGTGTTGGACATGATAAAGGTGTGAAAAACATCTGGACAAATGAAGTACCTTCTAATAGTAGTATTAGAATTCTTGGCTTTACAGGTTTAGTATTTCCATTTCTTAATAGAAATGCTTGCTATACAAACCACAAAAAACACTTGTAATTACTGCAAATCACAAATTAGCCTTGCTAATAACTTGAAGCAGATGGAAAAAAATGCAGTATACAGACATTACAGAGCAAGAGGTACTTTTTTCCCTAGAAATAGCAGAGACAGATTTTCAGCTGGGGGTGCTGTAAGACAGATAGGGTTAGTACATTTTGTTAAGATTGAAATCTTTATCTCATCTATACAAAAATCCATTTCAGAAGCAGAAACTACTGTCTCTGTTGATTTAACACTGTTGGGCTGTTAAAGGGAAAATTATACAGTGAAAAAGCAAAAGACAATACAAAGGCCCCAAAATCTTCTACTTAGGAGTTCCTATAAGCTTGAATGTTCTGCCCAATTAGAAAAATTAGTGAAAGGTGCAGATCTCTCCTGTAACTAGCATTCTTGAAAATGAATTTGTAGGTATGATCGATTAAGTGACCTTTCTGTCTGTGGATAAAAGATGGAAGTTACAAGAGCAAAGTGGTACTAGTAGGAAAACAGATCAGATATCCTGTTTCAGTTCTGTGGTACTTCCCTTGGAATAGACGGCGTCACTGTTGCAACTTAATGAGTGTTTCCTTGCCCCTAGACAATACTGAGGGGGTGCAGACAGTAAGCGGGTGCCAAGTCCATCCTCTTAAATGACAGTATGCTTGCTAATGTTAGTGTTAAATTTGGTTTCATAAGTTTCATAAATTACAACCTTATTAATGATGAAGTTAGGGACAGAATTTCCAGAGAGGATGTGTTATTTAGATATTCAAGGCCAGATACCATGTCAACAAATTAATACTGCATTGCCTACCAGTTAGCTTGCAGGAGAAGTCATGCAACTGACTCTGGATTTTTATTTCTAAAGAGTATAAAATGAATGTCATCTTTTTATTCTAAATTATTCTAAAGCATCTCCTGACTAGTGTGATAAATTGGGAAGAGACAGTATTTACTGGAAGGGGAGTAAGAGAAGGTTAAGGACGTACAGGACAGAGTGTACACTGATTGAATCCAGCGCATTACAAACTCGCAAGAACTCAGAGGCATTTTTGGACATCTTTCTGCAGGTAAAATTAATGTGTAGGAATGACATTGCACCATTGTTGGGATACTTCTTGACAGAAGTTATACGGCCCTTGGAATTTAATACAATGAGTACCCGTTGAGACATCTGCCTACCCGCTGGACTGAGTTGCAGATGAAATTTTTTTATGCAACTCCTTCAAAATGGTAGTTTGCCAGTCTGACCTCCAAAACCAAAGGATTGTATTTAAGGCAGATTTTCTTTTCCATACAGAGTTTAACTTAAGATGTGAAAGAAGGGTTTTGCTCTCCGGACTTGACAAAAGAGTTGATTTAATCTCTCCTTTGGCTGAACAGCCTGAGGTTTTAACAAATTTCAGTCTTTGCCTTCTGGTGCTGGAAAATAAGGAGGATCAGGAGCTAGTTAATAATTTCTCAAACACTTAGTTTGAAAAATTAATGGGCATTTAAAGCATCTCAAATAATGGGATGCTGTCACTGCAGTTCAACTTACTGGATTTTCAGTTAAGCAAGTGGGTACTCATTTGAGTTACTTAAGGCTGCTTGAGCCTTTTTAGAATTATTTATTTATATTTCCCTTCAGAAATATACTTTTATTGTTATTTCAATTTGGTGTAAATCTTCTGGAATTCTAGGGATTTCTTTTGAAATAATCTATATCTTACAGTATGTGCTCAGGAAAGAGTTCTGACTATTAATACAGACAGTGTATTTAGACTGCTCATTTGCGTAGCTGTTTATTCACCTGATGAGTCACAGTATCAGTACCTTCATTAGTCACATGAATTTTAGCAATTAAAAAGATTCGAATGATAGTTTAATGACAAAGAATGAGCTTAAGCTTCCATTCAAAACCTTTGTCTTGGCACATTTTGGGTTGGCTCAGTTGAAATATCACTACACTGGTGTATCAGAGTGAGGGAATGAGGATAGGAAAAGACTGTATTTGGACTTCTTTCAATGAAGGATTAAGCAGTGTGTATAATCATGTTATTTTTTTACTGTCTTTATTCCATCCCCCTTTTCCTAGGCTAAAGGAGTTTTGTTTTGTCTCTTCCTGGCAGCAGTAAATTTGCAAAGCTCCCACTGACAGGCAGAACAATAGCATTTTACGTGTTACTTCCCACACGAGGCATTCCCAGGAAATAATTATATGGGAATAGATACCTTTGTGGACTGCAGCCATAAAGGGTAGTGAGAAATTGGGCTAGCCAGTACCTGTCATGCTGACTCGCTCTTATTGTTTCCTTGTACTTTCTCATCTGCTTGTTTTTTTCACTCTTACAAGTAGATTCTTGGGGGATGAACTGTCATTCTGTTCTGCACATGACCAGTTTTAACTTACTTTTAAGGCAGACCAGAATATTTCTTTGCCATTGTCTGTTAGGGCTTGGAGAGTTTGAGTTGCAGAGCTTGGAAAATGAGATTTCAATGGTTTTGCCCACTTTAACAGGAAACAATATACACTGCATTTTTCAAATTTGCTTTTTTTGCCACCATTAACTTCTGGCTGGAATAGGTTGCTGCTTATATCCTCTGTCCTTAAAGCAGCTGTGGGCTGTGCTTGTGTAGTCTCCTAGTACAGTGTGGCTCTTGTCACAGCTTGGTCTCATTGGTACCTCTAGCCTGAAGGAAAGAAGGCTCCACTAAGTTTCCTGAAGAGAATTTGTAAACAGCCCGGTAAAGCCAGAGGACTCAAAAGGACCCCAAACAACTGGTGGTTGGTGAGAGGGAAATTAATTTCTTTTAACTTCCATTCATGAGGCACCTGTGAAACAGAAATACCCCTCGAACTTAAGAGACTGAAGAAAACATTGTAGATACTTTCTTTTAATATGGGGTTCTGTCCATAATGTAAGAATTAAAACCTAACACTAAAATAATTGTTGAGAAAGCCAGTGTGCTGATTATGTTGAAAAGCTAACCATGTAAAAGCACAGTGAAGCCACCCAAAGCATCTTAAGCTTGCTCCCATAGTGATGCCCTGAGGGGAAAGTTTTCAGTCGGTCCATACATGGGAACCTGAGGAACCCAACACTGGAATGTTTTACTCTGAGTTGTGTAATAGCATTCCAAACTTTGCATTTCACATCCACACCCTCTCCAAAGGAAGGGGGGAAAAAAAGGCTGATATAGAGGCTTTAGGTCACTCCTCTGCAGCCTGCAAAAAGGAAAAAGGAGTGGTGGTGTTTCAGCTGTCTCTTTGCTACTGTCCATTTAGAAACAATACTTCACCATAAGGATACTATGAAACTAGAACGCTTCTCCAGGGACAACAGGCAGAGCAGGGACAGGAGAGGAAGGGAGTGCAGCTGCATGGTGCAGTCACCATATTCCCACTTGCATTTGGAAGCTCTGGAGGCACTGTGTCTGCTCGACTCTCCTGGACTTTCTTGATTTTTGCTGACCCTTACACAAGGCACTGCTTTGAATCACAGTTGAGTATGAATAATCCTCAAACCACCACAGAACCCTGCTACAGATTAACAGAGTTTGAAAACCTGCTGTAATTTGTCCTGATGTCAAAGTAATCTTCGTATCACACCTCACTCCTTGAAAAGCGTTACTTTTATTGATGAGTGAGTCAGTGGTTGAAATGTAATAAATACTGGACCAACCTTATCCATCATATGCAATGTATCAGTTAGCTTTTTGGCCTCAGGAAATGTGTGAGCAAGTGACCAAAACAGCTTCGTTCACAGTTGTGCACACAAATCACCTGGATTACCATCCACATTTTAAGTTATGGGATTACGCATCACAGTTTAAATGGTGGGTTATGAAACTTCGTCATGGGATTTCAGGTATATGGGTTTAGAAATCTTCCTTAACTTTTCCTGGTGTCGCAACGTACGGCCTTGTTTATGGGCAAGACCCATTGGAGGCAGGTGGATCTGGAAAAGAAAATCCCACCAGTTAGGAGCAAATTGAGAAACTACAAGAAAAAGAAGGCATATATACAGACTAGGTTTCACTGAGTTTTAAATCATTTCTTCACACTTTGGAGTGGGCAACTGTACTGTCTCAAACCAGGTTATTAGATTTCTAGGAGGAGCACTTTCTGCAAAGTGATTAGTGGTATAACTTTCAAGCCCTAAATGCTGTGTTTATTAAAGTCCTATGTATTTTAGGCTCTAGTAACCTTGTTCTGTAGCTTGGTATCAGACTGTAATGATAAAATACTTGTTGAAATAGGACTGCTGACACTGTTCCAGAACAGTAAGACCTAGAAAACCCTAAAAATTCCCTGAGTAGATGGCTTAAAGCAATGTATGCTTTATTCATAGCTAGCTAACAAGTCAAAAAATAACCTGGAACTGTATGTATTGAAAGACTGCCTTCTTATTGTCATGAGCATATATATCATATTAAAATGCACAGTCAGTGTCATTGACTCCACAAGCAGAAGGAGCAATAGGTGACAGGCTCTTCCTTTGATTGACAAAGTCTTTGTATCTCAAAACTACCTCTGTTAGTGGGAGTCATGTGGCTATATCCCCCCATAAGCAATGGAAAAATGTAGGTGTTTAGCAGTCAGATGTTCCTGTTGCTGAGGCTGTCATCCTGTAAGGTAGCTGTTTAGGTGCAAGTAATAGTAAAAGCACTGACTAAAGCAGCAATAGAGATTTCTAGAATCTGAAAAATAATGATCATCCAGTTTGTGTGCGAGCTGATCTAGGACTGATCCTTTGGGACTTTGAAGCTGCTGCAGAGCATACATTTTAAGCCCATTTCTAGGAGCATTGCTTGCCAGATGTGCATTGTTATTCTGTATAAAAAGCTTTATGTGAAACGGAGGCTAACAGTGACTGTATTCTAGGTAAGCATCTGATGAAGATACAATTTAATTTTGACCATGACTGCCTTGATAAGGAAACTATAGATGTGAAAATGTAAACTAATCAACAGGAGTAGAAAGGAAGTCTCTATGGGAGGCAGCATAACGTAATGCAGACAGAAGTGGCTGGGCAGTGAGGAAACTATATTGAATGGTGCAATAAAAGACATTGTTGCAACTTCCAGCATTTTGGTAATCATCTTGGACATGTTTTTCTCTAGGAATAGGGCAAAAGAAGCAGCAGCATAGGCAGGTGCTTTACGAGACCTCATTTATGACCGGGAGAACAGTCACCAGTAATGTAGGCTATGAGAATTATGGTATCTATGGCAGATGTGAGTAAGTATTTTTATTCCCTCATTCTCTTTTATTATGTGGAAAGATTAACAGATTTTATTCCATTACTGTCTTTTTCTACATAGTATGATTCATTGGTCAGTCAAGACTGCCTAAATATTCACAGGCCTTGGGAATTTAGTTCCTGCAACTCCACTTAGGCTTTGACTACTTATTTTGAGAAGAAATTAGCCAATTTACAGTGAAGTACGATGGAGAACATTTCAGTGTACATTTGGCTTATTTGGCTCTGATTTAGTATAGCATTTAAATACCAGCTTATCTAAAAATGCAGTGTAGTCAGAGTGATGTAAACTTATGGTTTTATTGTCCAGCGAGAGCTAAGTGGATATAGCTGAAGACTTTGTGACTAGATTTATACTCACAGGTCTTGGGTAGGGGATGTTATAGTGAAGTCCAATTTCTATTCTTGCCTCACATTCATCTATACACTGCTTGATCAACTTTGGATCCATTACCTAAGATCATACAAACAATACAAACAAATGTTTTGTACAAGTACAGCAATTAGCAATTGGAAGCTCAAGCATAAATGATGCACAGCCACATGACTTTCCTTAGCTTTTTTTGGCAATCCCAAGGATACAATGATTGTATTTTTCACATCCATAAAAGGCAACATTAGTATTTGCCTTGACACAATGGTTCTGGGCTTGATGGTGCTGTATATTAAGGCCCAGGGGCTGTAACAACTGAGGCTATAGAAGGAGGTTTTTACCCAAACATGGTATTTTCTTTGTAAAAAGACAATACACATGTAAACTACTAATATATCCATGAAAAAACACACTCATCCATTTGTCACTCCGCAAGGTAGCTAGAGGAGAAAGGGAAGAGACTCCTTCTGTTATCATCCTAGCCAGAAACTGCCTTTGAAGTCAGAATTGTGGTGTAAATTGTGACTTAAATTCATTTTTTTGATTTTGCATCACCTCAGTATAGTCCCAGACCAAAATGGGATATAAGTAAGTATTGTGATCTTGAATTACAAGGACCTTTGATTACCGTGGAGTCTGTATTGCCTGTTTCAAAAGGGGTTTGAAATTTCTTAAGAAAAAAATTCAAGTGCTTCTTTTAAAAGAAGTGCCAATAATTGTTGCTTTGAAAAGAAAAGAAGTATAAGAAGCTACTGAGCTCTTTGCCATTGCATAAGTAATGATACACTTAGCTAGCTTTCTTCAAGATAAAAAGCTGCTTCAATTACATAGGCAGTATCTTTGGAATTTAATTTTTTCTTAGCATTTTTCTAGTGAAAGGTCTAGACCTTTTAGACTTCTACAGTAGTTAATGAAGAGCTGAAATGGTTTGAGTTTTCTTTTAACAATTTAAACTGTAACCCAAATACACAAGCATTTAAGGTGAATGAAATTTTGGGAAATCAGCTCTTATATTCATATCTTAGCATCCAATCACTGAGACGGTGCAAAGAGCAAGAGGAGAATCATTCAGAAATTCAAAACTGTAAGGACACCCACTTACATTTTTGTTTTTTTTGAATAATGTTTTGGCTTCATTTTTAATGTACTCTTTCTCTTTAATAGTTTCTTCTATCTGTCCTGATGCTGATTGCCATTTTTTGGCTATTCGGAATATCTTGCGGTAAAGACCAAGAACTTCTTGTCGAGTAACTGGTGTCATCTAAAAAAACAACACAAAATCCCAAACGTATGCATGAACATTTGAGTTGCTAAAAGGTCAGCAAGCAGTACAGTTTTTCACACAATTGAATTAGTTTAAAACTATTTCCACCATCTAAAGATATGCTGAGCTATATGAAAAGAATTGAAATAACAGTAAACAATAATTAGTTGTTGAAAGCTGAAGACCCAGTCCAGCAAAGTATTTAAACTGATACTTAAATCCATCTCCATTCAAACTTGCTCAAAGTTAAGCACTTGCTTTAGTGCTTTGCTGAATCACAAGCCTGGTAGAAGAATGCCCAGGTTGTGTTTCACCACTGTTTTGCAACAGACCTTAGGCAAGTCACCGAAACTCTGAGTGTCCCCCTTCCCATGAAATTGTCATACCAATGCTGACCCTATCTTTGCAAAGCACCCGAAATCTATGAATAAAATACATGATAAAAACACTGCGATATTGCGGAAAACCAGTGTAGGTTTCAGAGGCCGAGCAGCTTATTTGTGATACCACACAATATGTGGTAATGATTCAGCTGGAGTTTGATGTGATGAAAAGGTGATGAAAGCTATTTTATCTAAGCACTGCAGGAGAGGCAGACTAACTTTGGATTTACGAAAGTCCTGAATGACTTGATTTTCAGAGCACTGTGTACCTGCTGAGCCCATTGAATCAGCCGCCAGGTGCAATAAGAATCTTCACCAGAAATCAAGAATGAAATCTTATTCTATGTAAATGAGTGTTTTATCATGTAAGCAGTGCCACTATTTCGTCCCAGACCACAACTATCCCCAAGACAAATCCACTGCTGGAATAACAGCACTTCTGCCATGGGTGAGATTCACAGAAACAAGGACTTCTGCTTCAGGGACACCGCAACTGTCGAAGGTGCCTTGCTGTCCAAAAGGGAGATGCAGCACTGCAAAGTAAGTATATGGATGCAGTGAGGCACAAGTGGCAGGGACAGGACATTATCTGACTGTCTCAGGATCCTTTTGCCAACCTGGAGCTCTAGTTACTGTGGCTGAATCTACCCTGAAATCAGACCTCTGGGAATTGCCCCTCCGGAGGACAACTTGGAGCAGGGTAATTCAGGCAGCCAGAACTTCCCTCGGGAGGGAACGCTCTCTCCCTCGGTGATAGAGGAAGTGGCTTCCTCATGCACGCACTGAAACTGCTGCATAAAGTTCGGCAACGTGGCTATCGCTCATCCCCTTGCAGCCTGTGGCAACTCCTGTTATTGTGGGTAGCAGAAGAGGAGTTTGAACTGAAGTCCTCTTGGGCCATGCAGTTCTCAAGTGGCTGCCTCCGCCGCAGCAGCTGACCTCCGCTAATATTTCAGTATGGTCCTCCTGTGGCTTCAGACAGTCTTTTCCTCACCAAAGTCGGAATTACAGATGCCAACCTGAAGACAGGATTTGGCCCATAGTTCTTTTTGCTAAAAAATCCCAAACTATTAAATCCTAGCCTTTTTTGTCTTAACTGTTGCTATGATCTAAAGACTTTATGTTGTTTCATGAACTGTTAGGGATTTTAAGAAGTACAGACATAAAACTGTTTTTCTCTGATTCTTAAGAGAGAACATTTTTTTTTTGTTATTTGTATTTTAAAATGTTTAACCAATCATATATTTTTCCCCCAGATATAAAAACGATTCTTCCTACCCAGCAGAAAGTATTTCTAATAAATGTTTATGGTATTTCTCAGAAACAAATATCCACAATAAAATAGCTAGGTAGTCCCAGCTCATCAAACACTTTGGAATAAATGCTTCACTTTATCCACTCTACAGCTCCATTTCAGGCGATAAAATTAGTCATACACGAAGCTACGCATGTACGTGTATCTGAAAAATCATTGCTTCCCTCTGTCAAGTGTGTATTTTCTACAGAAAATAAACAGTCCAATTACAAGGGCTGACCTAGCACAAGCTGAGTCCCAAATCATGTCCTCACCTAGAGCCCCTCCTGCCTCACCCCTCTGCTTTTATTTGAAGGTGGCACCTCGGGTGGAGCCTGCTGTTCCCTGCTGACAGCTAATAAAAGGCAGTACTGCACTAGAAACTTTCAGCTTAGGCTCTCATGTAATTCATAAAGAAAATAAAAGGAATAATGTCAGGGTAAAAAATGTTTAAAATGCAGGTTTAAATTCTGATCTATGCATCAGACAATTTCCAAGGCTGCAGTCTGGGACAGTGCATGCCCTTTGCTCAGAGCTGTAATCCCACCTGTCCCTTTTGGATTTTAAACATACCAAGAATCTGTTTTTTATAAAGAGTTTGTTTAAAAGTTTAGGACCAACACGTTTTTTTTCCCCATTAGTTGCTTCTGCTCCCCCACCTAGAACTTATTTTTTCTTTCTTTAATTTCTCAGTGTTGGAATTTATACAGAACTGCGTAGCCCCTGATCTAGGCATGAGCTGCACTTTTGCATTATTGCTCTCCTTCCCACATATGCTGGATGATGTCAAAGCCGTGAAGCAGCTTTTCATATATAGTCAGCAACCAGCTGCTCCCATGGCTCATTTAGTCAACAATTTCTAACATTACAGACCTGCTCATGAACTGTGCCTGCTAAGATACATAAATGAAGGTGTGAGGGGCTCTTCACAGATAAAGGACCCTCGTCTTGTCTATCATGGGCAAGGATGAGAGCAAATAGGACAAAATTCAAAGCCTGGGTCAGATTCTGATCTGAGTGGGAGTGTAAACAGGGAATAACTCCACCAAGAGGAAAATTGCTTCCAACTTAAAATGTTGTAAATGAGATTGGAAGTTTTTTCTTTGGTATAAACAGAGCCCACACCAACAAGAGAAGTGAGTGATGGTACAAGTCATGTATCAGGTGTAATTTTGTCAAGTGACACTACTTGTATTAGTTTTGTGGGTGTGCAAAATGATTCTGAGTGGGACAGAAAGGAATAGAAGGGAGGCTTTCATGTCCTTGTAATTACTCATCTTGCAACTTACATCCTTGGCATTTAAATCATAATTACATTTCAAATCTCTGGAATGCTAAGTGGATGTTACACCACTTTCCCACTAACACACCTCTTGTGGTAGTCACACCCATTGTTTAACTTCTACCACCCTTCATTTCATTGCAGAATGGAGCCCACAGAGGTTAACCACAGGCGTTTTAGTCAGAAAGAACAGGGCTATTGTATTAGCTGAGCAAATTTCAGGTGTTTACTGCAATAAAACAAACCAGGAGAGGTCAAAGGTAGGTCTGTACGCACAAACCTATCAATGGGAAAAGTGGTAGGTTGCAGGCTGGCTTTGAGCTGATTGTTAGAATTAAGCCTTTGGAGGGAAGCCAAGCGTTGCCTTCCAAATAAGCATTTGCTGGATGCTGTGGCGGAGTTCTGACAATGCAGGGTTGTATCGTGCTTTTGATCTACATGCAAACCCCTGTTATCAACATGCAGATCAGGCACATGAAATATCCCATTGTATCCAAACTTTCAAAGGAGGCTTGAGCAATTAATGAGTTACTGCACGATGAAGATGCAAACTTTTTTCATTGTTAATTAAATAACCCTTTAGATTATAAAATGAAATAACAAGTTTTTCTTTCAGGAAACAGATACACATTCCTTTGGATTTTTAGATGGTTGACCCAAAAGTTCAATAATCTGAATAATCAGTGAAACACCAGTCGCCTTTTGCTATTTGCAGGTCTGGTTAGAATTTAGATTAAAAGTTCATATAAAAATAAGGAAAGGAATCTGTCAACTGCACTGCAAAGTGACCCCAATAGCACGCTGTCACAGCAAAGTTAGAAGAGAAGGCAAGCTGCACGGAGTCTGACTACTTACATACGAGCAGCTAAATTACAGCTGCTTCCCAGCGAGGAACGCTTGGCTAAGAGCATGTGTCGAGCACTCTCCTGTCTGCACAGTTCCTTTGCTGAAGTTGCAAGTCTGGTTTACTTCATCCTTTCTTTTCAAATCAAGCGTTAGCTACTCACTTTAAACATAAAATCTGCCAGCAGCGAGTACACAGAGGATTTTAGGAAACAAAGGGTGAAGGTAATAGCCCATGGAGAAAAAAAGGGTATTTTAAAACAATAGATCTCTTCTTTTACATCCCAGCTAACTAGGGCATGCATTGCTAACACACACTTAGTGCTGATGCTGAAACCATATTGGCTTAGGGGAGAAGACAGTGGGGAACAGAAATCTGTGTGAAATAATTTGAAAAAGTGTCTTTGAACTTCTCAGATGTAAAATGTTTTATTTAGGAGCAACACAACTTCAATCTGACAGCTGGTTTGCTACTGGCAAGGAGTCCTAAAGACACAATGACAAACTGCTGGGCTGATTGCCTTCTAAATCAAGCTACGATCACATTTCTGTTATGGAAATAAATGACATAATTCAAACCTGTAGGGTATCAACATTATAGTATGGAACATCATCAGCTACAGCTGCATGACAATCTGTATCTCATATTTTCAAATGCACTCTTTGGCTAACTTTTATTTAGAGAGATGCAAAAAACTGTGTATATCTGGCTTTTTTTTTTTTTTTTTAACGCTATTTAGCTACAGAGTGACCTGCAGTCTCTCTCCTGCTGCTAAAGCAGCAGATAATCAATCGTTCCTTTCACAGCAACTAGAGGTCAGTAATCCATATTCATCTTTCATGCAAGTCTGCCAAAATGAGTCTGCGGTTCTTAAGGCAGCAATGAATTTGGTCTATCATTTCCTTGAGGGACGACAACTAAAACAATGAGTTCCTGTGGCACAGGGAGAAGAGAAGGAGTCACAGATCCCTGTGATAGCTGGGCAGGTCACATGCCTTCCAGTGATACTAAATTTGAAAATCCAGGTTCCACAAATTAATTTTATTTTCTTTTACTCAAAATCAACAACTTAGTGGCCTGTGACAGCTAGTACCCTGTGAACATTGACCACATCTGGCTGCAGTACATACCTAGCAGAGTGAAAACTTCATATGATTTTTGTTCTTGATTGAACGTTCATACTTTTTTTTTAAGATTAAGCCCAAACCAAATCATAGCAAAACTTCAATCACAGCTAAAATATTCCATCTCCACATGGTGAAAACCAAACTAAAATGAAAGATCATATTCTTCCATGATGGCATTACATCCTCATCTCCACCAGTGATGTGAGCCTGTAAATTTCAAGACATTTCCATCAAGGATTAATTTGACTCCAAGTATTTCTCACTGTTTCCATCTACAACCTGCAATCACAAATCTATGCACATTTGGTGAAAAAGAACCAAGTTACCGAATCAAGTTATTCAGTAACGATATCTGAAAGCAAGGTGTCTTTCACATGCGTTTCGATTTTGTCATGCCAGTATCTTTCTGCTAACAAACTGAAGTGATCTGAAACCCTGATCTGAAACCCTGATCGACACCTTTGAACCAGCCTCTCTTAAGTCTTTGTACTTACACTGTTCATCAGCTGGGATGAGAACTCTGCCATTCTATTTGTGCCTCAGATTTCTGACTGAACTTGGATCTCTTTTAAGCTTTCTCTTACATATGGAGTGGTCTTTTGATCAGAAAAAGGAAACTGCATGCAAAGAGAATATAATTAAATGGTAAAAGCAAGGACTTGGATTTTATCACTGGTTTTCCTGTGTGATTTCAAGTAAGTGAAATTGCAGAAAATTAGCATTCTACAACATTCTCTTCATTTGAATAAATAAAAGTGGAGACCCTTAACTAGTCCCTTTTGATCATGGAGTTTTCATTTTCTTAGTCTGAGGTGGTTGAGGCATTATCTGGTTTTAGTAGGACATACAGACTCTTACTCTGGGAGCACCTCCTGTGCCATAGCAGGCTCAGGAAGAACAGAAATGCTGACTTGGACTGTGGAGAGGGGGAGGGGACCCAAAAAAAATTGCTGTATGTATTTCTTAGCTTTCTCCTGAAAAGACACAGTGTCCAGGTAAACTCTGAAGCAATATGAACTTGTCTCTAGTCTTGTGCAACTCTGTCGCTCATGCTTTCATACATTTAGGACCATTTTCTCCTCCTTTGTGTTTAGTTTTCTACTAGTTACAAGCAGAGAGAGAGGTTTTAATGCAGTGCAACAAATTTAGCAGAGAAAATGAAGTCTCAGCTATCCTTGGATGGCCTTACTTATATAATATAGAAGCATACAGAAATGTAACAACATGGATGCAAAACTCAGTATGGATTTATGCACCTTATTCATACCGTGGCTTCAAGCCAAATGCAACTGAATGTGTGAAAAGAATTATTTCCCAGCATTGGAACTGCTCCCAAATATAAGAACAGGTGTAAGTATTAATGCTTCATTCTGTGGGTCATTTAATAAAACTAATTTCATGACCCCTCTGCTTCATTTTCCAAATGCTTCAGTCCCAGGACATTGATAGATATGATTTTTAGTCACTATTTGAGAACTATAGCAGGGCATAAATTGAAAACAAAAATTTCTTTTTTGGAAATAAAGCGTGTGAATCCCATTCAAATTTGGGAGTTTGGGGACAAAGCCTCACACAGAATTTGCACGACTCTCCTGAATGGTGCATGGATCCGCCTTTGGGGCGTCCCGCCTCACAGACTGCACGGGGGTAGAGGAGCACGGGAGCAGGGGAAGCGCTGCTCCCTCTGTCCCAGTCTTCTCCCGGTTTCTGTGGGGAGAGGACCCTCAGGCCTGGTGGTGACGGGATGGGAGAACACCCCCTCCCCCCGACGCGAGCTCCATGTCAGCTGCAAGTGCAGGCCCAGGTGAGAGGTTCAGGACCCATTAGGCCCAGGCTCTTCTCCACACCACCTGGGAGCCGGGCCATCCCGCAGCCATTCCGGCAGCCGCTGGTGTAATCGGGCAGGCACAGGAACCGGCCGGGCAGCAAGGCCGCCACGTTCCTCGCTCTGGGGGTCGGGCCTACCCTGGCAAAGGCCACGGCGACGCAGAGGCACGGTGGGTGACAACAGGGTGGCCGCGGGGCTCGGCACCCCTGT